AAAAAAAAAAAAAAAAGAGAAAGAAAGTAAGGCCCAGAGAAGCAAAGTAACCTGTCTTAGGGCCGCCCAGCTGCTGAGGGGCAGGACACGGTTTGGAACGTGGTGTTTTGACCTTCCTGCCTCCAACCTTTTCTGATTAATAAAATAGTCATGGGGTTGGCACCACCCTCTGTGAGGGGCCAGACAGTGAATACCGTCAGTACTGTGGGTCACAGTGTCGGTCACAACTACTCACCCCTGCCATTGTTGGGTGAAAGCAGTCATAGACAATATGTAAATAGGCGTGGCTGTGTACCAATCAAACTTCATTATAAAAACAAGTGGTCCGGGTGCAGCGGCTCATTCCTGTAATCCCAGCACTTTGGGATCCCACGGTGGGTGGATGGCCTGAAGTCAGGAGTTCGAGACCAGCTGGCCAACATGGTGAAACCCCGTCTCTACTATGGAACCAGGGCACTCTACAGCCAAGTGGGTCCCTGTCTCGGCAGAGCCCCGAGGGCAGATATCGTGCGTACCTTCTCCGGGGGCTGCTGCAGGATGGGGAGGTTCTCCTCCAACTTGTCCAGCCCCCTGTGGGCTAATTCGCTGGCTGATGCAACTGCCAAAAAACAAATTAAGCAAGACGCAAATGTGACTGTCGGAAGGTCACCTAGTAATGGTTCAACGGGCCAGGACTAAAAACTGGGCACACCCTCTAGCCCCCACCCGGGGAATCGGCCAGGAGGGGGATTCAGTGCTCTCTGGGACTTCACCCACTCTGTGGCTCCAGCTTGGAGAGGATCGGCTGAGCCCCGCTCACAGCGGCCGCCGTGAGGCTCCGCACTCCCTTCTCTGCCGCGTCGCAGACGGTCTTGACATGCGGGTGGCTGTCCTTGGTGGAGGCATAGGCCGCGGACACCATGTCGCAGGTGGAGCTGATGAGGGGCATGTTGGCCACGCGGTCCACCACACTCGGCTACAGAAGAGAAGCAGCTCAGGCAGACCAGGCGGGGAAAGATGGGGGGCTTGGCCGGAAACTCGGGGTGCCCTGTAGTTTTGCTCTCACTACCGGCTGGCAAAATGGCTCGGCTCACCCACACGTTGCATTCCAGGTGGGAGCACAAGCCAGGAATCTTGGGACTTTGTCACATGCTTCCTTTAACACAGCCTAGGGATGTGAGTCTGCCCTTTCTGTTTTTTTTGAGACGGAGTTTCGCTCTGTCACCAGGCTGGAGTGCAGTGGCACAATCCTGGCTCACTGCAACCTCCGCCTCCCGAGTTCAAGCAATTCTTCTGCCTCAGGCTCCTGAGTAGCTGAGATTACAGGCATGTGCCACCACACCCGGCAAATTTTTGTATTTTTGGTACAAAAATACAGGGTTTCGCCATGTTGGCCAGGATGGTCTCGATCTGTTGACCTCATGATCCACCTGCCTTGGCCTCCCAAAGTGCTTGGATTAGAGGCATGAGCCACCACGCCTGGCCTATGAGCCTGTGTTTCATCCCAACCATGTGCCAGGTGGTGATAAAGGACAAGAGTCCCGGAGCTTGGTTGTCAGGCAACTATGCCGCCTTGCTCCCGGCCGAATAAACCCTCCTTCCTCCTATATCCGGTGTCCGAGAGATCCGTTTCCCGTGGCCGCTCCTGCTACATTTTGGTGCATTGGCCGGGAAGTGAGTCTCAGACAGCAGACGGCAAAAAGTCTCTTAGGTGGTTTGCCTAGCCCTGTGGAGCATCCCTGCAGGGGGACTCCTGCTTCCTGGGGTGACGCATCCTGAGAGCACTCCTGCGCGGGTATTTGCCTGGTGGAAAGGCCTCGCCAGAGCGGAGCAGGGAGGCCCTGCAGTGCGGATCCACCCAGTGGCTAAACACCGAGGAGGAATGAGCATTTGGGGAATTCCAGACCACTGAATTTGGTAAGATTGAACCCTGGAAAGTAGCCCACCCCATTTTGGGTGGAAGGGTGGCCTGATCACCCCCAGGTGCCAGATCGGCACGTTGGAAGGTAGCTCTCTCTGTAACCTTGGAAGCTTTTGCTTATGGTTTTGAATTGGAAGGAGAGCCGTCGGATGTGTGTCTGTGTGTGTGGATGTGTCCAGCCGGACTCATCAGTGGTAAAATTAGGAAGAATTAGAGACGGCCACATAAGGCTGAGTGAAGAAGCCTCTGGGCATTGTAAAAGGATGGAAGGGAATGTAAACCGGAGAGTGCTCTGTGCTCAGTGAACTAAAGCTCCTCACTGTGGGAATTGTTTCTTTGAAGTGTTAATATGGGTCACTCCCATAGCAAGCCCACCCCTTTACAAACTATGCTGAAAAATTTCAAGCAGAGATTTAGTGGAAATTATCAAGTCACTATGACACCAGAAAAAAAAAAAAGGACAAGAGTCCCATTCTCGTGGTGATTAGGGTCTAAACCGGGGGCTGCAGAGTATGGCCCATGTGTCACGTCCAGCCCACTCCTTGATTTTTAAATTTTCATTATTTTGAAAATAAAAATAAAAAAAAAAATTTTCATTATTTTGGGGGCCAGGTGCAGTGGCTCACTCCTATTACCTGGAGTGCAGTGGCACAATCCCGGCTCTCTGCAACCTCCACCTCCCAGGTTCAATCAATTCTCCTGACTCAGCCTCCCAAGCAGCTGGGATTACAGGCATGCGCCACCATGCGTGGCTAATTTTTATATTTTTAGTAGAGACGGGGTTTCTCCATGTCGGTCAGGCTGGTCTTGAACTCCCAACCTCATGTGATCTGCTGGCTTCAGCCTCCCAAAGTGCTGGAATTACAGGTGTGGGCCACCGTGCCTGACCTAGCTAATATTTTCAGCAATGTGGGTCATAGTCTCTCTCACGACTATTCAACCCTCCCAGCACTTTGGGAGACTGAGGCAGGTGGGTCACTTTGGGTCAGGAGTTCAAGACCAGCCTGGCCAACATGGCGAAACCCCGTGTCTACTAAAAGTACAAAAATTAGCCGGGCGTGGTGGTACATGCCTGTAATCTCAGCTACTCAGGAGGCTGAGGCAGGAGAATCACTTGACCAGGAGGCAGTTTGCAGTGAGCCGAGATCCTGCCACCGCGCTCCAGCCCAGGTGACAGAGTGAGACTCCATCTCAAAAATAAATAAACAAATAACACAAAAATTAGCCGGGCGTGGTGGTACATGCCTGTAATCCCAGCTTCTCAGGAGGCTGAGGCAGGAGAATCATTTGAACCCAGGAGTCAGAAGCTGCAGTGAGCCAAGACCGCACCACTGCACTCCAGCCTGGGCCACAGAGTAAGACCCTATCTCCAAAAAAATTGTTTTTAAGTTTAAATTTTTTAGACACAGAGTCTCGCTCTGTCGCCAGGCTGCAGTGCAGTGGCACAATCATAGCTCACTGCAGTCTTGAACTTCCCAGCTCAAGCGATCCTCCCACCCCAGCCTCCCAAAGTGCCAGGAGTACAGGCAGGAGCCACTGTGCCCGGCCCGATTTTTTGTCATTTTTTTTCCTAACAACTTTGAGACATAATTTATACACAGTAAATTTCACCCTTCACAGGCATACAATTCTGTGGTTTTAAAATACACTGATGCTTGAGCCCAGGAGGTGAGGTTGTAGGGAGCCACGATCATGCCACTGCACTCCAGCCTGGGTGACAGAGCAAGGCCCTGTCTCAAAAAATAAAACACAGGCCAGACACGGTGGCTTACAACTGTAATCCCAGCACTTTGGGAGGCCAAGGCGGGCGGATCACTTAAAGTCAGGAGTTCAAGACCAGCCTGAGCAACATGGTGAAAGCCGGTTTCTACTAAAAATACAAAAAGTAGCCGGGTGTGGTGGCGGGCACGTGTAATTCCAGCTATTCAGGAGGCTGAGGCAGGAAAACTGCTTGAACCCGGGAGGTGGAGGTTGCAGTGAGCCAAGATGGCACCACTGCACCCCAGACTGGGCCACAGAGCAAGACTCCGTCTCAAAAACTACATATATAAAATAAAATAACATGAGGAGAGATTTGGAGTGGAAACTGTCTTCCTCGGAGGTCCCGAAGAGAAACTTCAGAGATAAGGATGATTTGGCTGAGGGTTGGGGAGGGCAGGTAGTTTCAGACAGAACCCTGTCCCCCCAGGCCCTCCAAGGGCCTTTGAGATTCCCCCCCACTGAACCAGGGACACCAGTGAGTGGTGTGTACCCGGCGGAGGAATAAATCCCTCTGGCTCCATGAGCTGTGGGCAGATCCCGGGCTCCCCGCCAGGGCACCTTGGCGTGGGAATCCTCATTGCTCAGGAGTCACAGGATCGAGGCAGTCCCTGGTCCCGGTCCCTTCTCACCTGCTGTACCGGTTCTCCCGCTGTCACCTGGGTGCTGGCATCAGCCTCCGCCCCGTTGGCAGACATGGTCTCTGCAGCAGACGCTGTGGACAGAGGAACAGATACAGCCTGCCTGGCCCCACCTTCCAGGAGAAAGTCCAGGCCCACCCTGCAGCTGGAAGACAGGGTTCACACCTGCCCACCAACACCCCACGGTAACTTATAGCCATGCCTCAGTCCTTAGCAGGCACAAGGGTGACCTGTGGACTTTGTTCTACAGTAAGTGCTGATTCTGCCACTTTTTTTTTTTTTCCTTTCTTTTTTTATCTTTGGAGACAGAGTCTCACTCTGTTGCCCAGGCTGGAGTGCAGGGGTGCGGTCTTGACTCACTGCAACCTCTGCCTCCTGGGTTCAAGAAATTCTCCTGCCTCAGCCTCCCAAGCAGCTGGGATTACAGGTGTGAGCCACCATGCCCGGCTAATTTTTGTATTTTTAGTAGAGACGAGGTTTCACCATGTTGGCCAGGTTGGTCTCGAACTCCTGATCTCACGATCCGCCCGCCTCGGCCTCTCAAAGTGCTGGGATTACAGGCATGAGCCACCGCACCTGGCCCTTTCTTTTTTTTTTTTTATTAGAGACGGTCTTGGCCGAGCATGGTGGCTCACACCAATAATCCCAGCACTTTGGGAAGCCAAGGCGGGCGGATCGCGAGTTTGGGACCAGCCTACCAACATGGCGAAACCCCATCTCTACAAAAAAAATATAAAAATTAGCCGGGCATGCCTGTAATCCCAGCTACTCGAGAGGCTGAAGGAGGAGAATCCCTTGAACCCAGGAAAAGGTTGCAGTGAGCCAAGATAAGAGTCAAAAAAAAAGAACAGACATCATCTTGCTCGGTCACCTAGGCTGGAGTACAGTGGTGCAATCACAATCACAGCTCACTGCAGCCTCCAACGCCTGGTCTTAAGGGATCCTCCTGCCTCAGCCTCCCAAGTCACTAGGACTGCAGCCACCTGCCACCACCCCTAATTAATTTTTTCTTTTCAGTAGAGATGGTATCTTATTATGTTGCCCAGGCTAGTCTCAAATTCCTGGTCTCAAACAATCCTCTTGACCTGGCCTCCCAAAGGGCTGGGATTACAGGCGTACAGCACCCTGCCCAGCCTGACCCTGCATTTTTCAAAGGCTCCCAGGTGGTGTTGACACAGCTGGTCCCTGGGATACATGTCAGGGAGCAAGGCTTGGGAACAGCCCCCAGGGCTCACTTGTGTCACCTGTACTCCAGAAAGCCAGGTGTGACCTAAAACCTCTGTAGAGGACAATTTGCCAATCGCTGTCACGTTCCAAGAGCCATCTTCCTCTTGACCCAGAAACCTCACTTCGGAGAATATCCCACACCTGGATTTCCACATGGGCAGAGGTGTGTGGACCTGCCACAGTGTGATACTGGAAACAACGTGGGTGCCCAGCAAAAGGGGAATAAGAAAATAACAAGTGTTGGCAGAGTGCAGTGGCTCACGCCTGTAATCCCAGCGCTTTGGGAGGCTGAGGCAGGTGGATCACCTGAGGTTGGGAGTTCGAGACCAGCCTGACCAACATGGAGAAACCCCATCTCCACTAAAAATAC